CAGTAAATTAATATAACGAGTTTATTTTGAAAAATACTCACAATTTTTTTTTTTTAAACCGAGTTGTAACGACCCTAAATTTTCACATACTAAGCTCATCTATAATGCGGAAATATAACTCTTTCATGAACATCATTTATAACGCAAACTTCGAAAAACGCTTAAAACTTCTTTTCTAGAGAACACAGTCCTTACCTTACGTGTTTAAATATGAAATACTTAAATTTAGAGAAAATAAAAGCAATACAAAATAATTTAAAATAATGAAATGCATAACAGCCTATTCTCACCTAAACCTAGAAATTTAAATATGAATCTACTCTATGCACGTGCCCAGTCTCTGCTCGCGATGACTCACACGTTCGAGTGTGAATCCTCAGGGCGCTCGCACATACCCTGGACCCTCTAGTCAAACTAATTTATAGCGACGTCCGGAGGTCAGCGAAAATCCATAGTGTCATGTGCCTCATGAACACCATCATCATCATGCGCTGCATATTCACACTCATCATCATGCGGTGCGCATTCGCACTCATCATCATGCGGTGCGCATTCACACTCATCATTATGTTGTGCGCATCCGCACTCATCATTTTAGGGGAAGTAGCCATATGCTTATGAACATACAATATGCATGAGGTCTCTCTAAATCCATCGTAATGTCTCTTTAGACAGAATCCTCTAGTCTCATCTCTTTGTTACTCTAGGTAACACATACTCGTGAATATTTAATAATAATATCATTTTCATGCTCTTAGGGTTGTGTCCTTTGTCAATCTAACGACATGATGCAATATGACACTCGTCATCATATAACATGCTCAATATGGAAAACATCATCATATTAAAGTAAACATCACGCAATCATCACACTCATCATATTACCATAGAGTGCATCAAGCATACCAAGTACGTCATTCATCGAAATATATATACACTACGCACATCATCATATACTAGTATACGACATCATATGATACAGCTCATATATCATCATAACCCATACATCGTCGTATACTAACATACGACATCATACGATACCACTCATACATCATCATAACTCATACATCATCGTATATGTAATAGCCCAAAAAAAATAAAAATAAAATAAAATAAATAAGATCATAAATAATGAAATAAATAAACCAATAAACAAATAAAAATAATTATAAAAAAATAGTTAAAAATAATAATAATAATAAATAAATAAATAAACAAAAAAAGAAGAAACGACCTTTCCCCACTTCTCTCCACTAATCTCTTGTCCCTTCCCACAATTATCTCTCCTCAACTCATCTTATGCTAGAAAGTAACCGTTACACAACATAGTCAGATTTACTTGGGAGAAAAAAAAAAGAATGGCCTTTAACCGTTGAGATTCACTAGAGATTTATGTGAAGGTAGATATGATCAATAAGATATATATTAAATCTTCATTTTCTTTTATGCTATTTCTTTTATTGAAATCATAGTCAATTATAGTTAGATTTTCATTAAATTATTAGAATAGTTTAGCTTTTAGTTAGAAACTAAATATCAAATCATTTATAGGAATTCTATTAAATCAGGTCAGATTAGTAATATTAGATTAAATTTATATAAGTAGCCGAATGAATAGATTAAAAATAGAATGGCCTAGAAAATTTGTGATCAGGAAACACTCAGATAAGGAAAGATATAGAAACAAGGATCCACTGGAAATTTGGAATACATTAGAATATCTTTTTTTTTTTATAAAACATTAACCATGGAAAATAAGATTTTTAATAAAAATATAATTATAGATATATAACATTTAAAGACTTTTAACAATGGACCAATGCAAATTAGAGAAATAATTTTATAAGCTCAAACTTGAAACTGATATCATAGGCTCACATAGGTTGACCTGGATTTCAAAGGACAGAATCGAACTTTCATTAAGGATATATTTGTGACAACAACTTAAGTTGACTAGGTAAGTAGTCTTACTATCGACATGATTATCTTTGATGTTGACATGCGTTTGTAGTTCTGCACGTGTCATATATACTGATATATGGGAATTATCTGTGAATCGGTATGCTTATATTATGTTTATGTTATGTTATTGTTGGGTTTTATGTCCTAAAACTCATAGATTGTAAATAAAAACCTATTCCATTTTCAATAAAGTTATTATTGATGTTTATTCAATAAAGAAAGATTGTTATTGTATAAAGTGAATTTTACGATCATTAACCTTTCTAATAAACTAAGAATATTCTGGCTAGTATGATTACTGAACTATATATAGAGACATAACAGTGGATCAAGTTCAAGTATATAGTCAAAATGATCTATAGTACAGGCATAAGACTGAGTACCTTATCCTAGAGACACTATGGATGCGGCCCACTTTTGTATATGATATAAACAATGTGATCACTAAATTATACATATGGAGACATGTGAGTGGGGGCGTCCTATGCAATGAGTATTGCATAAGATCGAACCATGAAGAAAATCACTCTCACTTTGTAATGTCGTTTACTATTGAGACTGATTTTTTCACTCGATGACCTAGGTAACTCGACCTTAATCCTGAGCTAACTATGAACTCTTATTTATTCAAAATTATCCTTAAATTTGCAGGGGTGAAAGTGGCCCGAGTTCGCCGACTCAATAAGCCTCCCATTTCAAGGGTAAGACTGGGTGAATAACTGGGGACATAGGGTGCAAGATAGAATTCACTTCTACCCACTTTTAGAGATAGCAAAAACATTGTTCACTTAAGTACTGACTCCAGGTCTTAAACAAGGGGCCCCACCCTCTCATTGACCCAAGAGGGATTCGGTTTGGTGATTGGACCACAAATCAATTGTTCATTAGAGAATCAATGGGACTTAAGAAACAAGAAGTAACTTTAGGGGTAAAATGGTAAATTGACCCATCTATCAAATGAACAGAAATATATCTATAGTGAGGGGAGTGCAACTACTAGGCTATAGTGAAGTGTCGTAGTAGTTAATGAATGTTGGTTAGCAAGGTTAATGAGTTTAGCCAATTAATCTCGGATCGTTGGAGCCCATGATTTGTAGGTCCATTAGGTCCCCCACTAGCTCATATTAGACTAAACCTAGTGTGACGAGTGAGTTCGAATTCAAATTAGAGAATATACGCTAAATATATACGATATATTTAACTGCATTTTATTTTAACTATGAATTAAACAACATGAGAGAATTGGAGATATTTAAATAAGATTTAAATATTCTAATTATGAACACGGATTAGTAATCAATATGTTCTGGAATTGATTGGGATTGACATTTGAATTAATGCTAAATATTAATTAAATTGTTTAATTAATCATTTAATATTGTTTTAATTTGAATTAATTGTTGAATTGAAATGTTGAAAGGCAAAATGTTGACTCCACCTAACGGAAAAATCCATGTTTGAGCGAGTGGAATATTGAGTGTCAATATATGGTTTAACCAAATTTGCATGTTTGCCACATAATCCCACAAATTTGAGTGGAATTTTGAGTGTCAAAATTTGGTAATCTCAAATTTGCATAAACATGCAAATATGACTCTACAAATAGATCATGGTGCATGGAAATTCTACTCGAAAAACTTTGAGAAAATCTTTCAAAACTCTCTCTTTACATATACTAAATTCCTATCAAGTTTCGTCACTGACTGGATTCCACAATCCCGTTCTAAGGCCGAAGAATAGTAGGAAAGACACTAGTGGTGGTTCGAAACCGATTCGTGAGGAAAAAGGAATTTGAACTACAAAACGTTAGTACTCAAACTCCTTGAATTTTAATGCTTTTGAACATGCTAGCTAATTTACTATAATTAATGTACTTAGAGTGCCTAAGATCCAAATTGCTTCTGCACGTGTTATAATAACACCATCCGTTATAATATGTGAATTGTATGATAATAATTATGGTACGAGGTGTTCAAGGATATGTTTGAGATAAGATACGAGAAGGATGCACAAAACGAAATGTAATGATAGGAGTAAGCTACGTTCATGAAACGTTAAGGTTTGTGCTCTTGTCGAACTTAGCCCTATTCACGGGATCTTAAGCTTTGTGCTCAAATAGTCGCTAGTCGGAGACCTAGTGGTACCTGGTAACGTCTAACTGTTCCTAAGATTAGCAACTACCTGCCACTATGCCTCACTAGGCCGAGTCAGTAACTACCTGTTTTACGCCATTGCAGGCTCAGATCAGTAAAACTACCTGTCTTAAGAACAGTAACTACCTGTCACTATGTTGCTCGGCTGGATCAGTAAAAAGGTCATGGCTCGTCCCCTAAGCACCTCTAACGGGTTACCACAGTAATATACTATGATTACCCTTAACCCCTTGTGGGTGACTACTAAAACGGTACACTGTCATCTACGTAATTCATAACTTATGATAACTAGCACATAATAAATGGTCCAACTCACAAGGGGCAACAATGGCTACCCAAGCCCCACCACACCCAATGCCTAACAAAGAATCACGGCAACAACACGTCACCATGCTAAATCACGTAATAACCATCTAGTTCAACATAAAATCATACCATTCCATACGCCTATAAGAAATTTCACATTCATGCCAACGAAACTATATAACCATAACGACAATCAAAGTATAACCATACACATTATCGAAGTACCACCTCCATGAACTAAATTTATCCATCCCTAAATACGGTACTAAATTATTTGCCCACAAACCCAAACCGACGCCTGCAAGAAATTACATAGAAACTTGCTCTAGATGGTTACTTACTTGATCGTAGACTTCCCGAAACTTTATCGAGTCTTCAAGTGTCCACTTGACTAAGCTACTTGGACATTTTCCTATAAATAAGGCATTATGGAATGTGTGAGCCAAGTACCTAAATCTGAATAAAGACGAATCAAATGGTGTGAAATGAAAAGAAAAATTCGGGTTTCAGTTCTGTATAGGTGAGTCGAGTCAAGTCGGTCCAACGGGTCGGGTCAGGTCGTGCCCCACGATTTTCGGCCTCTTCTTCCCACCTTCTTCTTGATCTTTCTTTCCTCTCAGCACCCCATGTATTCTTCTTCATGAGGATTCATCAACTTCCCTTGATCATAACCTAGGTACATCGACCCAGTGAAACGTATTAGGGTTTTCGGGAAAGGAGCAATGAAAATCACACCACTAGGACTTACCGTCGGCGTTCTCCCTTCTTGAACCTTCGTCGTTCGTCTCCTCTGCTCCACCCTCTCCTCTATTTTTCTTCTTCTTTTCTTTTTTTTTTAAACCCTAAAAGAGTAGTACAGCTGGCCTTTCTATCTCCTCACTTAATGCCAGCTATACGACTCTTACAGAAACTCTTACCTTCTACTACTTTATCGCTTCTTTTACTGCTTTCTGTATTATTTCTTTCTTGTTTTCTTTAAGAGTATGACACTTCGGAGAAATCATGGCTACGTTTGATAGACATGAAATGCCTCAAAATGTACTATATGGGGATGCAACTTGTAATAACAAAAAAAAAAAAAATAATAATAATAATAATAAATAAACAAATAAAAAATTATTATAAACAAAAATTATTATTATGTTAAAGAAAGTAATAATAAATAAATAAATAAAAACCATTATTCCCTCCTTTCTCTCCCCCTCACTATAGTCCATCTCCTCAATTATCTCTCCTCAACCCATTTCACATTTGGTGCAAAAAGAAATAGAAATGAAAAATGTCAGGTTTAGAGAACAGAAATGCCTCACATCAGATTTATAGGAGATGGATCTACCGGAGAGGAGATGAGGAAGATTTAATGGGAGAGATTTGAGATTTCTAGGTTAAGTTATATCTCAGATCTTCTTTTCTTTTATCCAATTATTTAGTTTTATTTAGTCATTTACATGTTACAAAGATACTCAGGATCAAAAAGTAATTGCTAATATAATTGAAAATGTAACAAACAAAAATAAAAAGAAAGGTTCAAGTTAACGAATCTGAATTTCTTTTTATTGCTAAAACATTACAAACAGTAAAACAAAAAGGTTCAGATTTATTTTGGCTAGATATTGCATTTGAAGAGGTTAGTAGTTTAATTTTTTATTTTATTTAATGATATTAATTTATTAATTTGGTTACAATTAGTTAGTTTTGAATTCCGGATTAAAGTCATCTTCAGACAAAAGTAAGAATTGATGATGACAAAAGTAAGAATTGATTAAAAGATTGCATAAACTTGAAAAGAAACCAACTGTGAGTGAAGATTGTGAATATAATTAAAGAAGGGGAACACGGTAAGAGACAGAAAGAAGATTGTGTTGAAATTGCTAATATAATTAAAAGAAGGAGAAACACAGCAAGAGAGAGGGAAATTGTGAATATAATTGAAAGAAGGGGAAAGGGACGGAAAGATTGTGAATATAATTAAAAGAAGGGAAATACAGTAAGAGAGGGAGGGGAGATTGTGAATAAATTGAAATTATTTGGAAAATGTTAAGGAAACACGGTAAAGAAAATAGAATATCTGGAAAATGTTAATGGGTATTATAATACTATGACAAACATATATAAATATTTCAAAACATATATAAATATTTCAAGACTTAACTCATGCAAAAACTCTAACGTTGACATGAAGTATAACACATGTATCAATATAAATTAGAGAAACAATTTTGTAGAATTTCAAACTTAAAATTGATGTCATGGACTCACATAGAATAATAAAATTGTGTAAGTTATAATACATGAATTGTATGATAATAATTACGGTATGTTGTGTTCAATGATATGTTTGAGATAAGATACGAGAAGGATGCACAAAACAAAATGTAATGATAGGAGTAAGATACGTTCATGAAACGTTAAGGTTAGGTTACATACTATAGTGTTAGGATAGATTGATAGAACGATAGTGTTAGGATAAGTAATAGGTAGAAAGGGATAGGCTTGTGATAGATTGATAGAATGATAGTGTTAGGATATGTTCCTGTGATGATATGACTAAGGCACGTTCACATAACGATATGACTGTGTATAAGAACGTTAAGACCATGATAAGTTAGGGAACGATATGACTGCAAAGTGTTTACGATATGACATGTTTATGATACGATATATTGTTATGTGATATGTTATGTTTAGATTGTTTTGTGTGACCATTGAGGTAATTATTGTATGAATTGTACGTTATGAAATGACATATTAAAAGCATTGAGCGCTATATTATGTTTTCTAAATGGTATGTATACATGTTATAAATGACATGATATTACAATAAATGAAATGAAATATAACCCTGTTAGAATTATGCATGATATGAGAACTGAAAAATGAGAAAATGATATAAATGTAAAACGATAGGGGGGTTATATTTAATAATGTCGAAAATAGAAAAATATTGGTACCTCATGCATTATGTGTGCTCATACATTGGGGGATACCTCTATTTCATCACGATGGACAGGGGTACAATCATTATGTTTTACAAAATGCTGTTGATAGGGGTACGATCATTATGTTTTGCATAATGCTGCCGGTAGGGGTACGATCATTTTGTTTTACATAATGTTGCCGATAGGTTACTAGTTCTAACGGGTGTCTGGCCTAAGGAGCTCCCAGAGTATGCTCGCCTGACAAGGAAAGTGGTCCAGCGGTGTGCGAACTGACTGGTGAGTCCATACTCACACGTATGGGCTGTGTGTAGAGTATATGGTATACATCCAAGTTATCCATTAGGACAGTACCGTAGGAAAATAGATTAGAATGATAGATCCCGTCATTACATTCGCATGTTCTTGCATTTAACCCCAGTAGTGGGGTCACTTACTGAGTATTTATTTAAATATTCAAGTCATGTGCTACTACATTTTTCAGGTTAAGGCAAGGCGTTCCTGTACGGCTGACGACAGTATCATAACTCGAGACCATGACCCATGCATAAGGTAGTAGTATTTATTTTCTTAGACTTAAGCTAGAATATGATGTTTTTAATTTAAACGTTTATTTATTTTATTTAGTCTTTTGTTGTGTCATTTTAAAGATTTTTTGGAAACATGTAAGTTCATGGCTGTGTTTTAAGACAAATATTATGTTTTATGGAATTTAAATGAGTCTCATTCAATGTTCATAATATTATACCGTACCGACCTTAAATTAAGTAGAAAATTTTAGGTTGTTACATGACCGGTGGTCAAATTCTCCCAATTGTATAACACCATTCTCAATCTCTTTTTTATTCTTGCTTTCAAAACTCTTTTTCCAAAACTCTCTCCTTTGCTTTCTAAAATCTTCTCTTCAAATCGGGGTCGAAGTTTGAATACCGTAGGCAACGTAGTCTGAAGTTGGCTTGACTCACTCGGTGCTGAGAGTGGTTGTCGCACAATTGCCAAGGCCAAGAAAAGGCGATTGTGACACAGGGCTAGCCAAATTGATCCAACATTGATAGGCTCATTCAGTGATCTCGGTTCGTATCTAAGATAGATTAGAAACTCATATTTATTTTTTAAAAATATATCAGAAAATTACTGAATGGAATCTTTTTATCGGCAATTAAAATTTTAAACCCCAAGGAATAAGCTACAACGGGTTAACGGGCATTGGGCAAAATTCTCTTTGTGGCGTTCTCCACCGCCGCCGCCGCCGCCGCCGCCGCAATCCCGACTACCGTTTATAATTTGGAAGTCGTGAGAGTTACGAGGGTTTTTGTCAGTCCCACCACTTAGCACTCTCCTTCATTGCCTTTGTTGGAGCTTAGATCCTTTTTCGCTTTTCTTTTCTCTTTCGGCCTTTTGTTCCTCTCCGTTCTTGGGGTTTATTCGTTAATGGCGGCTATGGCTACTCGAAAACTAATAAGAGATGCTTTCTGTAAAGCGTTGGTTTCACGCCCCTTCCAAGGCGCGAGGCACTTCTCTTCTGCTCCTGAGACCATTCATAAGATCCCTCACACTTCTAAGAAGGTTCAGACTCTATCTCTGTTGGCCGTTTTTTTTTATAAATATTATCGATCTTTTACCAACATGAGGTTTGACGATTGCTTTTGGATTAATGGGCGTTGAAATTATTTGTGGGTGCTCTGCTTCAATGTGTAGTTTAGAAACAAGATTACTGTGCGAGAATTTTTCAATTGTACTCTCTTGTGAAGAATTTTGAGGTTTGAAGCAGAAGCTTTGTTTCTGGGATCATGAATGGAATGGCTCTAATGTTTTGTTTTATTAATGGGTTTCTCTGTCATAGGCTCGATGCTTAATGTTGATTGTTTCTAGTGCTTATGTCCACCGTTTGGTTGTAAAGAAATCGAATAAGGGATAAGACTGTCACTTAGCAATAAGGCTTTACTTCTAAATCTCAAAAGAAAAGGTTAGGGAGTGCATGATGTGAAAGCAATTCCAGTCTCGGCTGCTGAGGTGGCGTAGTGGGCGTTGAGGCTCATGGTTGAGCACAACCGCACCCCTCATTTCTTTTTTGAATTAGAAAGAGGGGGCCTCACTTAACTATTTGTATAGGATGCTGGTTTCCCATTACTCAATGAAGTCTTCCCATTGTCCACTTCTTTCTAGGATGTGGGATCGATTTAGATCATAACTGAACAACCCACTTCCAACCTTCACTCAGTTGTCAAGCTGCATCTGAATTACAGTGGCTTCAAACTGAGCGTGACTGCCAAGCTAACAGGCCTCAAGGGTGGATAAAACCATTCAAACCTTCCTTTTTTTTCTAGACCATTTTTTATTTGCCCAGTCGTGAACCGCCTTGGTTAAAACCATGGGGTCTACCCAACAATGCTTCATATCCTCCTCCTTGTGTGGCCCATTTACATGCTCCCATAACTAATGCAAAGGAGAAATGATGTAATTTAATCTATCCAACCTGAAATCACTCAAGGGAGTCGCTCAATCCCTTGAAATCAGGAATCTATCTAACCATGAAGCCATGGTCCTCTTACCCATACCAAACCACGTACAAATCCCATTATTCATAGGAACATCAATTAAATCAATAGTTGAAATCCCATTATTCATGCTATCCTTATATTTTTATTTCACACATGCTATGCTTTTAGCTGTTCTATTCCCATGGAACTTTTCTTTCATCCATTTGACAATGTTAAAGTCACGTTGAGCAATTCTTGCCAGTATGCCTTTCTATCTTGAGAAGAACAGAGCCTATACACCCCTAAAATCCAACCATTGATGTTCCCACCAAATCTACACGCTAACGAAACATAGTACACTCTGATGAAAGCTTCCTCACCAACTATGCTTTCCTCTTTCCACATTATTAGAATAGTGACTGACG